GGTGGGGAGGGAGAGAGGGTGGAAAAGGCGCCGCCGTGTTGCGGTGCCGGCGGGGTTTCCCGCGTGGGGTTAATTTTATATCTATCTATATATATGTAAACGTTCTGTGCTAAAGCTTTTGCAGTAGGTGGCATCTGAGCAGAAGCGTTCAGTGCTGCTCTTGGTAGAACACGTTCCACGGATCTCAAACTCCTAAATGGGCAAATATTCGTGTCTCATTAGAAGTGTTTAACTTGGGAGGTCAGGTTAGAGTTTTTTCTGCTTAAGATCCTTAGATTTTTTTTTTTTAATTATTTTTATTTTCCCGATTTCCTCCACTTTCCCCCTTTCTCAAACTCCATAGTGTTTATAATTGAGGGGGAAGTCCGCTTTTTCAGCGTGATCCCGTCACTCTCTGCATTCCCTTTTTGGGTGCTCTGAGGCTTCCCAGGTTTTGTTGTGCACATGCAGGCACAGTTGTCAAGCTCCGTTCTGTGCGCCATAATAACAGCGCTGCGGAAGGCTTTCGAAACGGTTTTGCTGATTTTGTGACTTGTGTATAGAAAAGTCACCCTCTGAGCAATGTCTCTCTTCAAGTGGATTTGGCTGTTTAAAAATTTTATATATATATAAATATTTTTAATACTAAATATAAACAATAAATATATATTTATATATATAAAAACACGTGCTGGTTTTTAACATTTGCATATTGTGGTTTAAAATCAAGCTCTCCTTTCATTGGAAGGAAAAACAAGGATTACGGAGTGACAGTTGGTAGGATTTTTCAGTGCATCTGTGTATATAACACACATGCAAAATGAGTGCAACTACAGCTAAATTTTCAGGGTCTGTAGAACGGCTAGTGTGCAGTAAGGTTTGTTATCTTGAGTATGTATTAGGAATATTTGTGCAAGTAAAGATGTTTTGTTAACAATATTCTCATTCTATATAGTTAGTTTTTATCTAGAATAATGTATAGGCTAAATAGAAAATTTGTTTTTTATGACGTGTTTAACAGATATGAACTTGCCCCAAAGAGTGTGCTGAAATACATCTTTACTTGGATCACTTTCCCACTCGCTCCAACTTTTTTATAAAAAGGAAATGTGTAACTTAATCTGTAATTAGCTTAATCATACTGTCACTAATGATTTGTCTTCATCTCATGAAAACAAAGAAATTGTTACTGATTGCTTAGATTTTCTATGCAGCTTTGGTGCTGCAAGACCATGAAAAAGTAATTAAAGTTCTGGAGGTATGATAAATTCCTGAGCATGGTCTATCTTTAGACTCGCACAATCCATCTCCATGTAAGTAAGCTAGCAATGACTTTCAAGTCATGCAAATGTACTCAAGCAAGGCTTAAAAAATGTCACTTAACCAGTGCTGAATGGTGTGGCTATGGGATACAAGGGTTCTCAAGGAAATAGATGGTCACTTGAGGTTTTTGTTTTGTTTGGTTTGGTTCTTGACCACTATGAGCACCTTTTATGGTAAAAGACTTCAAGTGACTTGATCAAAACAGAAACATCTTTCCATGGTGACAGTTTTGAGTGGTTGGTTGTGACCTTAGTATCTGTGGCTAATGGAGGATGGTTTTGGCTGGGTTGAGATGATTTACATTACTGTGCACCCTGTAGGTGACTGGGCTGGTTGGATTTCTAGTCTTCAAATGTGTGATTCTTTACAACCAAGTGTAAAAAGAGTAAGGTAGCCTTTATTTTTTTCCAACAATACTGTACAAAACTTTCTATTAAAAAACTTTGTTTGGAAATCTTCCTGGATTTGTAGCCAGATGCAACTGCAATTACTTGTTCTGGCCCATTTTGATCATGAGTAGAACTGATAGCTTTATGGCTAGCTTTGTGAATTTGCTTGTCTTTGTTTCTTTGCCAAATGATGGCATATTTAGTGTACTTTATGGCAGTTTATTAGACAGGTGAAGGATTGAATGTCCAAAGAAACACAACTGGTAGTTTCTTACAAGAATTGGAGATGCTGCTGTTCCTCTGTTGGAAATTTATATTGTTTGAAAATGGGGTCAACAGGATGTCACAAGATGTGGACAAGATGAGCACGAATACAGTTGTGCAGAGTTAACAATAACTTTTTTTTTTTGAGTACATTAAAAATCCAGTCCTGCAAATTCTTACTAACTCTCACAGTTTTGCTATGTGTAGATGGTTTTGTTAAGTCAGGGGGATTGTTCTTGTGACTCTAGAAACTGGAGAAAAATAGGAATGTAATTGGATAGTGCGTGTATGGTAAATGGACCATGCATTTATTGAGGCACCATAGTTATTGATGCCATAACTTAGAATTCCTTTATGCCATTAGTTAACTCTTGTAGAAAAACTGATACAGGAATGAAGAGACATGTGAGCGTATTGAAGGAAATTTTATATATATTTTTATATATATAATGTGTATATATATATATTTGGTAAAAATGTGTGCTTGACTGTCTGTTTCTTTGTTGTTCTCCCATTTGAAGATTGGTTCTATCCGGAGGCCATACTTTGTCCATAACAGTGTTTCATCCTGCAGGGTCTCTGCATATTTTATAATGACTTATGTGTGACAGGATCTGGCCATCTGAGGGGAACTGTAAGAGGGCTGAGTTGTTATTCATGATTTCTTCTTGCTATTGCAGGAGTTGTTTAACTTACTTGAAACTTCTGCCCAGGCTGACGAGAAGTAATAAAAAGCATGGATGAAACTAAAACAGCTCCAAACTCCTTCACAGCCCACTGAACACTCTTAAATGACAGAGATGCAAAGTGCATCCTGGACTGCAAGAAATGTTGAGTGGATTGGCCATGACTTTACTGTCAAGCAATTAATCTATTCAGCAGACTTTAAGCACACGGGCAGGGACATGCATGGCCTATACAGAACTTATTTGAATGCAAATCCCTCTTATGCAGTGTGTTTGCTCATGGATGCATGTGTTTCGTTAATGAGAATCAAGCAGAACTCAATATAATCTCTGTTGTTTCCAGCAAAGTATGCATGACCCCCTGCTGCTGCAACAAGAGTCTCTCTAGAAATCGTGCTGGTTCTCTAGCTAGAAATTGGTTTTTATCTGTTCAAAGCACATTCACATTCTGGACTACTGACATGTTCTGGACTGCTTCTAACACTTGGCTCCTTAGTAGTAGTTCCTTACTTAGGCTGTTAGGGTTTTAAAGGTAATGTCTTGAAATGTGCCAGTTTATCTTACTAGTTAGTTCTTAAGATATTTTTACTTTTTTTTAGGAGAGAGGGGTTTTCTTTCCCCTTTAGACTTTAAAGAAAATATATATTTATTATTACTGGGGAGAAAAGCCTGCATATTTTTAGATTAGAAATCAGTTTTCTTAACTGCCCCCATTTTCTTCAGGAGTTCCATATATTTATTCTTATATATTTTTATTCCATATAATTCTTGTATATGCAATATAATTATTTATTGTTATATATTCTTACATATTTATTTACTGTTCTAAATTCCCCTCTGCCCCCATTTTAATGAGGCCAAAATCATATGTTGCTGAAGAGATACAAAAATGATTCTGCAAGAAGGTCAGATTTTTTTGTTTTCTTCCTCTCTTTCTTGTCTTTACATAAGACTTTACCTAAGATTACAGACCCATTCAGTAAGTGATAGTTAAAAATGTGATGCCTATTTCTATAGAACTGGATAGAATACATAGGATGTCTTAAAGAGCAGTTGAAGCTATAATAGCAGGTGTTGGACCAGTGTTGTGTGTATGGCTATGGTTAAAATTTTGAAATTTACCCTTCAAGACTAATATTTAGGTGAAGGCAATAGTAAAACATTACTGAGCTGTGGATTTGGTCTGCATTTTTAAACTATTTGTAGAATTTCTGTTAATGAGAATGGAAGATACACAATGGAATAAATTAATTTATTTTCTTTACAATGTGTGTCTAATGCATGGTCACTTCTCTTTTTTGTTTTTACAGAATTCTTCAAGATGAATACCGCAGCAATCAGCCCACTCACCGTTACTCCCCTAGGTTTTGTTCCAGACTTAAAAAATGCCACCCTTGTGCCTTTCAATGAGACTGCATGTGAAAACTGGAGAGAGATTCATCATCTTGTTTTCCATGTGGCCAATATTTGCTTTGCAATTGGACTAGTTATTCCAACAACTCTAAATCTTCATATGATTTTTCTACGAGGCCTGCTGACCATAGGTGGGCCAGTTTTCTTGGAGCTTTACAACATTCATGAAGTAGAAACAGCAGTAAACGTTATAGAGTGTGCTGGTCTCCTCAGTTTATGGTGAAATTCCAGCATATGTTCATGATCATTGTACTTTGCTGAAGGTGTTTTTGATGTAAGCTTCTTTCTGGTCTCAAAGACCTTATCTGGAAAAGGTTATATATATGTATATGTATATATATGTGTATATATATATATATATACAGACTCTTCAAATTTTGTGGAAATAAAATTGGCAACTTCAAACTTAGGTCCAACTGGGTACTCGTTTATTAGGCTCTGAATCATAGTTAAGGGTATGGATTATTAAGACCTTAGTTTTAGGCTTCATGCAAATAGTGGGCCATGCATTGGCTAGTACGCTGGCTTAGTTCATCTGTAATACATAAGATTTTCATTGAGAAGCTTAATGCAATGGTTAGCCACACGCGTTCTTTAAATGTGGATTTAAACTCATGACATTTGCTCTTCAGTGTTATTTTCATTTCCAGTGTAGTTTTCACTATAGTGAAGGCTGGATTCCCTTGAGGTTGGTAAAATTTCTTCCATCATTGTGGGCATTTCATGATGCAAAAAGATTTGATTTCAGAGAAAATGCTAAATTTGGTATGTCTTAGACTAAGCAAGCATGGTTTGAGTTGTAGCCTCCTGTCAGTTCCACAGCTGTTTCAAAGCCCCGGTACATTGTGGAGCAAAGTGTTTGTGACTGAATGAAAAAGAAATATCAGTCATTACAGAGTAGGGAGGGTATGCTGTAGAAACCCAGGTGTTACCTGCTGGCATCAGAACCCATGGAACACTCGAGGGATTTTAAGTGAGAATGCTTATTAGTGTAAAAGTGTGCATCAATTGCATGATAGAACTTCTATGGCTGAATTTGCAATAGTTTTGCCATTTCCTTTTTTATAGTTATGATAGGATAAATCATCAAAACAGACTTCGCTAATGACCAAGGGTCTCAGGATTGTAAGACCTTTTGTCTGTGCCCTTCCCATTTAAAAACAGTGGGAGTTCTGCTCTTGCAGAGTTTAACTGCTTTGGACTCTTGGCTTTTTTGTATTTTGAACTGAGAAACAGATTTGGAATCAGAATTTTTCAAACTGAGATAGCAGCTGGAAGCAAATATATTCTGTGAGCAGCACAAGTAATGAAGCTTGGTTTCCTATGGCTGTGTCCTTTGTGCTGTTATCCCGGCCATGTGCTGCTCTGCAGCATCACCCCTCTTGAATTAGGACACTAATTTGATACCTTTTCTCTTTCATTTTCTTGTGATTTGCATCAAACTTACAGGAAAATCTGTCTGTGACCTCTATCATTTGTCAGATGTGGCTGAATTTGGTCAGTGTGTTCAGCTATTTGAGACAGACCGACAGATACATATCAGTGTATAGTCTTTATATGCTAAAAATACTCGTAGTCATACAGCATGCCTTAGCTTTTAGAGCAAGTCATTATTCAAAGTGAAATAACCAAAAGAGAGAATGCATTTGAAATTTTGTCTTTGATGGCATGCAGGTAAAGTCTGGTTGTGGCTGTGTCTTTATCACAATGCAACAACAGTGATTCCTTTACATTTTCAAACATATCTGTGCATGACTTTAGATTTTGTTGTAACTGTTGCTTACTAAGGAATGTTCCTAGTACAGATAATGAGGGTTCATTTCTCTGCTTGTTTGTCTAATTGATGCAATACTAGTAATAAGGTTTTATGGGTTGGTTAGTTCTTATTTTACTGAACATAGTCTTCCCTGATCCTACATTGCCTCCATGTTAATAACAGATTATTGTGGTCTGTACCTTTTTGCCTTCCCCAGTCCTGAATTCTTGTTCCTTCAGCACTGCAAAGCTTTGCTGCAGCCCAGCCTGGCTGAAGGGCTGTCAGTGTCTGTTTGTAGGGTGATCCTGAGGGGTATTGATATACAGAGCCTAAGTGTACGTAAAGCTTGTAGCAATATATTGCTTTTCTGTGTGATTGTATCCTTTTACAATGAACAAATTCCTCATAGTTTTCTAAGAAACTTTTTATTGATCGTTGAAATTTAACTTGCTATTTTAATTTTTACAGGATGTGCGTTGTTCATCGTTTGGGCTACGCTCTATCGCTGTGCCTTGGACATAATGATCTGGAATTCTGTGTTTCTGGTTGTCAACCTCTTACATTTTATATATCTACTGTATAAGAGAAGACCGGTATGTATAACAACTAAATACTACAGGCCAAACTTAATAAGATGCCAGAAGAAGGAAACTTGTCCCATGTTTGCTAGACAAACTTGTCAATGACAGGGCTTCTTTCTGACTGACTCAGCTATGTCAGTAAAGAACCAGCCCATTAGTATTTTTAGCTGAATCTGATTCAGTATGTAGTTTCTTATAATTTTTTTTTCTCAAATCTGTTATTTAAAAATAATGCGCATCTCAAAGTTTCTCGTCCTTTATTATAGCCTCCCAGTTACAGACTTGAAGCATGATGTAGGGTGGTTGCCTAGGTCTTTTTTTGCTGTCTTGCACATTATGTTTATTGTCAGTTTGAAGGATTTTTTTTTAAAGCATGTTTTATAGAGAAAGCTAGAAGATGAAGAAGAAATTCTTGAAAAATAACTTCGAGTGAGATTTTCTGTCAGCAACTATTGCCCATCTCGGAAACAATTTTAGTCATCCTTACAAATTACACTTTTAAGGAGAGAAAAGAATGGAAGACTGATTACAAGTTAGTCATATTGCAAAATGAATAATTGATGTTTCCAGTTATTAAATATTTATTTTATTAAATGGAGTATGCAAAATAGTAGTGATTTTCTCTTCTGACCATAAAATTATTTCTGTGGTTTTTGTTCCTTGGAGCTTTACAGATTTGGCTTCTTTAGTCTGAGTGGAAGATAAAAGATTCTCATCGGTGTCTCTGCTGAGCTCTGACTCGAAATTTTGGCAGGATCCCAAAATATTTCAACCATTGCTAAACAAAACATTACACCTACCCAAATGGCTCATTTGGAATATGACCCACAAGCGTGACTGCAGTAGTCATCTGAGCTCGTAAAGAGCGAGTAGTCTGTTTTGAGGGAGTCCATCTAAAGTATAGATGTAGATCTATATTACGATGTCCTCGTCACTCTTTTGGAGCTGGAAGTCTTGGGACCTACTTCCATGTTAATCTGAGAATGGAATTAATCACGCTGAGTTGCAAGGATATAGAAAGAAGTACAAACGAAATTGTTACAAAGGAGAGACTTCCTGGTAAACCTATGTGCAGAACAAATTGTTTTCTAAGTCCACGATTATATGGAACATACTCTGAAATTAAGCAGCTCAGGACAATCCCAAGCATAGTACAATATCCCTTGCCAGATTGAATTTAACTGTATTTTGTCTGCATAAAAGTCCTCTGAGGTGTTAAAGACTAGGGCATAAGGAACACAGAAATTCAAAACCCTCTTTTCATATAAGTGTAGTCACCAGCAAAAGATGCAATTAGTAGTTTATACCATGTGAAACAAATGTAACTTGAGGTCAGATGACTTTTTAGCGTTAATCTTGCCTGAAGATTTGTCTCTGAGCCCTCCTCTTCGTGTTTCTGGGGCAGAACCAGTTAGAAGTGTCTCTCCACCTTCTATAACAGAATGAAGCAAACGGCAATGAAACAAAAAGATCCATTTAAATGTTTTGAGATGGCTTGACATTTAATTGAAACGTGTATGAACAGATCAAAAAAATCAAGCAAAAACAATATCCTAATAGATTTGAGCAGGGTAAATGCACTTAGAAATTGTACACAAAATTAGCAGTAAGTTCAGCTATAGGTATGGAAAACAAAGTTATCTGATGCTCTTTCATCAAAACTTTTCTTGTGAAAAGCTCATTTAAAAAAAAATTTAAACCCCATCGTTGTTCAGCCTTTGGAAATAGGCATTGGTGTCTGTTTCATGTACAGTCTGATCAGTGGTTTATGAACTTCTGCTTTTCATGGTTTGAGGCTGTCTGGTTTAAAAAAAGTGAAGACTGCATTTTGGAGTGTTGAATTTTTACAAGCCATACAGCTGCAATGTTGAGAAGTTGTGCAGTGATGGTGTCATGGTCCCATGCTGTCTCATCTCTTCCTGTTTAGGAATTTAATACCAAACTGCGCACGACTAGCATGGGATTAACCCAGTGTCTCTGCCTGATCATCCATTCTGAAGTGACTCCTGTAGAGTTCAGTGGCCCATGCATGCATTGGATTGTATCCAGTGAATGAGACAGTGGGTAAATACTTCACAAGTATAGCTCTATAGATATGGAAAGCTTCTCCTTCAGTTCAATTAATTATAGTTTTAAATAAATCTGAAATTTTAACAACAAAAAGGCCTTTTTTTCCATGAACTTTCATTATGCCTTGTTTTCCATTTCACACCTGCGTATAACTCCACTACGAGCAGCTCACAGTGGATTTTTGATGGAGAATGCATATTTCTCATAGGCTCTAGAAAATATTTTTTTCCTAAAATACTCCCTTAGGAAAGGAATAGTGGGTGCTTAACAGGTTGAGGCCCTCATGGCCTGCAAGCAGCCTGAAGATTTCCTGTGTCCTTCTGAAACTCTTCCTGTCAGCTACAAGGTGCCCAGAGGATTCTCAGGCTACCCTGTTATCTGTATCCAGCTGGAACATGACTCCTGTACCTACCTCTTCACTCCTCCTCTATTTTAACAGTGAAATAATAGTAATAAAAACGCATCTAGAAAGCTCTGTAAACTTGGAACATTCTGATTTGTTGAAGGGGTGACTCCTTTTCCCCTCTTTCTGACTTATTTCTTTGTTGCTTTTCCTTGTTTTCCGTTCTCAAAGCATTTTATTTTTTTCATTATCTGATGCTTCTTTCTCTGACTTGTTTTCCTCCAAGCAAATATCCAGGCTTCTGTTCAAGCTGCCTCTGGTTTAGGGATGGCCAGGACACTGTCTTATTCTCTGCTGCCTTCATTCAGGAAAGACTTCCAGGCTTGGGATTTCAGCCAGCTTCTTGTAGCTCTCGTTCCTGCTGGCAGAGTTTGGGTGGGCTCCTAGATGTGGGAGGTTCAGCTGGCACTCGTTTCTTCCTCATAACACATGATTTGATGGTGTTGTTTTTCAGGACTCATAGTCCTGCTTTTCTGCTGAAAGTGAGCCAAGAATGTAAGGGATGAAAGGTGCTCCCAGAAGAGTCTGAGGGAGAGTCAGGATGTGGTGTGAAACATGCAAGCAGCCACATTTTTTTTTTCCCTGTGTTATTCTGGCCCAAGTTCTGTTTGCATTAAAGAGAAGTCTTGGGAGAGTCCTTGTAGCTGATTTAACATGTCATTTACATGGAACATCATCTTAACATGCCAAGGGTGCTCTTCTAATTTTAGCTAAGGTTTTGCTCCCTTTGTCATATCTAGCATTTGTGGATAGATGTCAAACACTTATTTATTTGTTTTTCCTTTTTTAAACCTAAAGATATAGCAACTACAGCACACATGCAGTCTTACCTTTTTAATAACTAATTCATTTGTGTTTATTGATGTTTTCTGTTCTTCTATTTTAGATCAAGATAGAGAAGGAGCTTAGTAGTCTCTACAAGCGAATGTTTGAACCACTGCATGTGCCTCCAGAGCTGTTCCAAAGATTAACTGGACAATTCTGCAATATTCAGACTTTAAAGACAGGTCAAGCTTATGCTGCAGAGGATAAAACATCAGTTGATGATAGACTAAGCATCCGGCTGAAGGGGAAGTAGGTTCTGTAAAGCTTAGGAACAGCTTAAGTGTTGGGTGATGGCTGAAAATATTAGAAATCTGGAGGGTTTTGTTAGCTTTCTAAATGTTGCTGCTATATACCATGGACTACCCATATGGGCTGTTTTGGTATTTTAAAAGGTATGTAGCCTTTTGTCACACTGTTTGCAAGTGACAGTGATGTAGCTTACTGGAAGCGTATTATGTCTCCACTTTCTCTGTGCAGCCACATTGATACTAATGGGGAATATATTTGTGTCTTCCAGAACAAGCAAGAAATCTTTGAAATTTTACTGAAGTCTCCATCTTAGTGCATGTGTGGATTGGAAGTTTTTTTGTTGGTTTGTTTGTTTTCTGGCAGTATGGCATTCCTCTCCAGACTTTTTTTTTTTTTTCGTTTTGAAAAGCAGTATTTTGAGAACACACACATCAGGCAACTAAAATTCTATTCGGAATCATTGGAGATTTAGACAGAAAATACGCTAGCTCTTTGGCTGAAATTTCAGAAGATGTACACATTTTAGCCTGTTACCTTCTTCATTACCATCAGCAAAATCATAGTCAAATTTAAATTATCCAGCCTCCATCATTTTAAAATGTTGATTCTTGCCTTTTTATTTCCAGAATGAAGGTCTCTTACCGAGGGCATTTTCTGCATAATATTTACCCCTGTGCCTTTATAGATTCTCCTGAATTTCGATCAACTCAGATGAATCGGGGTGAGAAATTCCAGGTACACTTGTTTTAAATGTCATTGGATATGAATTAACTGTTTTTTTTAAAAAAAAAAAAAAAAACACAGTGGTCAACAGTGAACTATTTGACTTGCATAATTTTGCTGGCTTTCTAGTATTGGTGTTTAATGATGGTCCATATCAAGAATAACTTGGACTGAAATGCTACAGAACAATTTTATAATGGTCTATTTTGTTTTCTCTTTTTAGTATTCGCAAACTTATTTTCTGTTAAAATATTATACAGGACAAATTATTTAAAAGGTAGTTTTTCCTGGGAAAGAGATGATTTTGAGTGGTTCCTTCACTAGTTTAAAAACAGTAAATGAAAATGTCTTTTCCTGCACTTAGTAATACCAAAGATTACTATAACTAAAATGAAAGATTTTAAAAATTCAGCACTAGTAGTTTGAAATGGATGCTTATTTAAACATATTAATGCTTCTGTCATTCTGAAAGCTGTTAAAAGCAATATTAACTGAAAGACATCATGCTTATTTTGAATAAAAACACTCCTATGGGGACCAGTATTGAGTAGTAGTGTAATTATGCCAGTACATTAATGGATATATTATGCAATAGCTTGCGGTAAAAAGTGCTATTAAAGTAGGTTTTCTCCATGTAACACTGAAATCCGTGTTTTGCTGCTCCCTACTTGATACTAACTGCATACAAATAGTGATTACTAGCCTCTGGCATGCTTGGATATATCCACACTGGTGTCCTAACAGATAAGGGAGGGAGGAAGAGTAATGTAGGGATCTAAAATCAGTGATTGATGTAATATGTTCCAGTTGAGCACTAGGCTTGATGCCAAAGGGAGATAGCTGTCAAGATGTGTTCATTTCACAGCAGTGAGGAATCCTATAGAGTTGAAGTCCCCTTCATACTATTACTTTTTGTAAATTAGGAATCAATTTTAGTGAAAGGGAAAAGCTGATGACTCAAGCTGTGCCTACCTTCAGTATTACTGTAATCATTATACATCCTTCACCTCTGTGTTCTCCTTGCTTTTTTGTGATTTCAGCCCACTTGCAGTATGAATATTCTGAGCATTGCTGGTGGAGTAACATATAGATTAAATCTTACGGGCTCCATCTGCTGGCAATTCTGCTGAATTCTTCCTAAACTTGTATGCTTATATTACAGACAGTGAAGTTCAAATCCATGTTTGTGTGACAGTTTTCCAGTAGTTTTCAGGGATTTTTTTTGTGTGTGTGTGTTTATTTTTGAGGTAAAACTAACTTTTAATAATAGAGGGTAGCTTATTTCTTCATGGATACTTTCTTTTCTAAAAAGGACTACTGCTCTAATACTGTGTAATGGCTTTTGTATGCTGCTGCCCTCTCCTGGCACAGAATGACAAATCTGACGATGTATTCATAAGCATTAAAACCTCCCAAGAGAAGATGTAAACTCCTCTGTAACTGTCCATGGCAGAATTGTCAATAATGAATCAAATACTTCCTTAGCTCCAGTGCTAGAATCTTGTACTTGAGAGCACAAGGTCTGTCAGAAAAGCAGTTGAAGAAGGATGAAACTTTTTTTCCCTCAAAAATCTCTAAAAATAACTCTTTCACAGCAGTCTTTGAATTATACCAGTTGTTGTTTAGTTACAAGGACTTTAGTTACATGGACTTAAAACCTAATGACAAACCTAAAACCTCGGCCTGTTGGGATGTGAATAGTGTCATCAATGTAGGACTGACTTAGTATGTACATGTCCTCTGTCATCAGTATTTATAGTTCTGGACACTATGAGAAACTTTCCGTAATTATCTCCCTCCAAATTTTCTAAAAAATTAACTTGCCCTATGGATCAGTGTTTTAAATACAGTGATAGCAAATATGTAGTCTTAAATTTGTAAATACCGTTTTCAAAGGGGATACCCCAAGGTGTAGCTTTAAAAGTTGATTTAAATGTAGCCACAAATGAAATAGTATGACCTATTTTAAAGCAAGAGAGGAGGGCTAATTCTAGTATGTGTTTTCTCAGGTTACCATTGTTGCAGATGATAACTGCAAGTTCCTGTGCTGGTCCAGGGAGAGGTTGACTTATTTTCTAGAATCTGAGCCATTTCTTTATGAGATCTTTAAGTATCTTATTGGCAAAGATATTACAAATAAACTCTACTCATTGAATGACCCAACCTTAAATGACAAGGTAAGCAATTTAAATTTTGTTTAGGGATTTTCTTGCCTCCAACAAATATATTTTTACCTTAACATTTAAATGTCTCAAGGCATATTGTTTTGAACCTGCTGTTGGTGGTTGTTGAATTCGTACTCATTTCTTTTTAGGGACAACATGCGAGTCAGTGAAACATTTTGTCAGCAGCAATATTGGTTAATGTTAGCATGGTAATGTACAAGGAAAAGGAATAATTGAGAGTCAGACCAAAGTGGCTAGTTCAAATATTTCTAGCCAAGTAGTAGGCATGATGACTAGCTGCTAAAGTGTTTTTTTTTTCCCAACTTTTACCATCATCTGTGTATGTATTATAAATACAATCTTTCCATGTTCTGTGGTTTTTGGATTTAATTCACCCTAACTGAAAGCAAAAAATCCATGTCGTCGGATTGGCCATAAATGTCTCACAGAAAGGTTAAAAATCCTCTTCTGTAATCGAAGTTGTGAATGTGCTGGGAAATGGTCCAAAAGGAGCAACTGTCACTCGTGCTATACAACAAACTACAACAGGCTTGACTTCAAATGTACTTAGGACTAATTAAACATTATATTTTTTCTCAATTTTGTACTGTCTACAGAAAGAAAGAAGAAAGAATTGTTGGAAAAACAATTTTACAGCCACAAAACACTGCCTTCTGGCCAAGGCAGTAGAGGGTTACACTGTCTTGTAATCAGATGCTCAAGACTATTTCAGTTCACTGTTTTCATGGATCATCTGAGTCTTGCTGATGCAATAACACAGATGTTATTGCATGAATGCAGGAATGTACAACCTATAAAGTAACCTTATAAAGTTTTTTTTTGTTCATATAAGGAAAAAAAATAAGGATCAAAGATGTATTTTGTTAATCAGAATGTTTCTTGAGTATGGCCTCTGCAAGGAAAGTGTAGCAACACGCTCCCTCTGTGTGCTAAGAATTGCATTTGGGCTACATCTCCAGGGAGACACCTGTTTGTCACTCACCATGCCTGTTTTTCTTTTCTTTTTTTCTTTTTTTCCTGCATGGAAGGATGACCGTGTTAAGGTATTGTGCCTAGTGTACAAAATCATCTGCAGCTGCTGGCTTTTGCACTGTAGAATCAAACCATTAGCATAAATAAATATATGGAAGGAATAATGTCACACACGGGGTCATATTGTAAATTTGTAAATGGTTGTTTTAAAGCAAAGAGTCCTTATCATACCTTTGAGGGGTTTTTTTTCTTTTTTTCTTTTTTTTCTTTTTTTAATTCTCAGAGAGATGGTTAGACTTTAATGGAGATCCGCTGCCAGTGCTTGGCAGAAAAGGGTTGCTGAGTTAAATGATATGTTGTATTACAACATGGGGTTATTCAACTCATCCTTTAAAAAGTCTAAAACAGGACTGCAATATGAAAACATTTAATGTCAGAGAAATTTTCTCTTGTTCTATGTCTTTTATTTTACTTTTTCTCCTTTAGCTCATTTCCACTCCCCCTTTCTTTTCCTACCCTAGGTTATTTTTATCAGTACTATTTTTGATAAGTTGCAGTGCTTGATCTTTCTCTCTTGGGAAGATATTTTGAAAACCATTTTCAAAACTGATGTATGAATTTCTGTGTGCAGCTTTAGTCACACCCTCCTGCTCACACAATACTAATTCATCTGATTTTGAAGCATATCATAACACTCTCCAGAGTTCAAATTTTTTAGATGCCATTGGTGTAAACTGTATCTTCAAATCATTAGTCTCTTTTAGAAGACTTGGCATTAACGTTTTTTTGTAATGTGGGTTTCTTCCCCCTTTCCCTTCTTTCAATTTGTTTCCCTTCTTTTTGCCTTTTGTTATTTTTGCTTCACTACAGCGCCATCCTGTTTTCTCTCTTTCCTATCCATCTTGCTTTCTTCTCCTCTCCTCTGGCTTAACATCTGCACCTCTCTTAAAAATAATAGTGCTTGGAATCAGCACAGTCCCGCTAGGCGTCCTTACGAGAACATGAGAAGCTTCTGCCCCTTCCTCGCTAATTATTGTATCGTGTTGGGGACACAGTTGCTGCTGTTTTCAGATGGATGGACCTGTTTGAAACCTTTATTTAAATTAGTGCTCTGATGTTTGTGCAGAGTGTGGAAATCAAATGGATGCCCAACCTATTGTGGTAGGTGAAATCAAGGCTCAAAATGACTTTCCACCTTTGTGCTTAGCTTGTCCCGACTTTCCCCTCTATGGTACAAATGTATCTAAATAATACAGAGATGTGTGTCAGTACAAACAGAAAAGATCTGTCTAGTTGTGTTCTACCTAGTAATAATTTTTTACATTTCTGTGTGTTACTTTAAGATGCTGAGTACGTTTCATTCCCAATCCTTTACAAATACTAGAATCATATAAAGCAATGCAAAACTGGCTTCATAATTTCATGTAATTTTATGTAATACATACATTTCATGTAATACATTACATTTCATGTAATTTTATGTAAGTTTGTTGGTAAAATTATTTTTTCATTTTAACTTCTTTTTTTCCAAGCCTTTATTTATTTTTATTTTATTATTTTTTTTTTTTTACCAAAAACAACCATATGAATTTAAGGTTATTGTAATTGCAGTAACTTCTGAAAATGTATGTTGTTCTAAAAATTAAATAAAAATAAAGTGTTTGGGGAAGTTGTAATGCTTTTTTTTACTCTTCCTCAAGCAAAAATCGTATTGTACAAGTCCTTCCTACATAGAATATTTTCATTTAAATCAATTTACCCTGCACAAATTCTCACGCTTTAGCCAAGTAACTCATGAATAGTCGTAGCTGACCTCAGAGCCTCTACTACAGAAATACCTGTTTTCATTTTCATTTCTGATTTACTTGACAACTTTTAAAAATAACTTTTTTTTTTTTTTAACATAGGCCTCAAAAAAGATTGATCGACAGCCTAGTCTTTGCTCCCAGCTCTCTGTGATGCAGATGAGAAACAGCATGGCCAGCACCAGCGACAGTGAAGATGGCTTGCAGATGTTCCTGCGTGGGACTTCCTCCGCATCCTCTCTTCGTGAGTTCTCAAAATAGTTGATGCCAGTTTTGGACACAGCTTGGCTCTTCATAAAAAACAATTGCAGTACTCTTGTTGTCTGCAGTAGGAGCAGAATTTAGCTTATTTGGGGTGTTGCTGTAAATTGAGTAAGCAGAAGGACCTAATGCAAGGAATTCATAAGATGCCTGAGGCTTTCTAGGATAATGTAAGCTCCCTCAGGTGGATGTTGGGGGAGGGGAGGCGGTGGGAAAAACAAAGCATTGTAATAACTTATGGCATAGTATGGATGTGTATAAGGCAAATTTCTTAAGGTAAGGGAGCAAATCAATGTGAAGGTACAGTGTCTGTCACAGTAGTATCTCCTCTGGTCTGTGATTGGTGCTTGTAGAAACTAAAAACAAAACCAAACATTTCTTCTCAGCAGCTGGGTGAACTGCATTTCCTCCTGAGTTAGTTTGTGTTGGCAAGGTCTGGAGAAATGTGGTGTAGAGCTAATATTTTGATGATGCCTGGAAAATTTCTAAGTATTCAGGCTTTCCTTCCCTGCTCTTTGTGACCAGAGTACTACAGAACAGGTAAAATAAGGGAAGCCATGTTCTGACCTTTTGTTTCTAACCTTGCAATTTATATCTTTATAGATTTTTCTCAAAACAATTCTTTGTAAGCTTTTTTTATTTGTTACTATTAATTTCATTGAATCTAAGTAAACTTAGTCTGAAATTTGAAAGCAGATTTGAACAAAATTCCCCAAAGATGTTCAGTTGTCTTATTTGGCATAAGCTGCCTGTTTAACACAATTTATAAGGGTCAGATAAGATTATCTATTTTGGTTTGAGGACTTATTCTTTGCTAATTAGGATTTAAATCTATGAGAAAAACAGTTGTCATTTACTAGGCCTAACTCTCTGCTAAGGTGAAAGAGCTTTTCAAAGTATTCACACATTCCCATTTCATTGTCTATTCTGCACTGTCTTCCTCCCAGCTCTCATCCAAGAGCCCTTTCAGGCCTGGGGGGCCGATTCCTTTCCAGTCCTTACCATTGGGACAGTTTGCTCTCCCAAAGAGATGGAAGCAAAAACGCTGCCAGTGTTTCACACTGAGAGCAATAGCTGGGGATAGTTGTTGCAGACTGATGAAAATTCAAGCTTTATTTTGTTTCTCCTCTGTTCCCTGAAAGGAGATTTAAAATCACAGAATGCTTGAGGTATGAAGAGACCTTTGAAAATTGTCTAGTATAAAATTCTGCTCAAAGCAGGGCCAGCTAACGCAGATTGCTCAGGACTGTGTCCAGTAACGCTTTGAATATTTCCAAAGTTGAAGATTCCACAGCCTCTCTGAGTAGCCTCTTCCAGTGCCTGACCACCCTTGTGAATAAAATTTTCTTATGTGTGTTCCAAATTTCTCTTACCACAGCTCATGACCATTGTCCCATGTTCTCTAGTGCATGCCTCTGAGAGGAATTTGGCTCTGTCTTCTTTATATCTTGCCAAGTAGCTGAAGACAGCAGCAGGATCACCTGTGAGCCTTCTCTTCATGAGGCTGAACAAACCCATTTCTTGCAGCCTCTCTGTGTATGTCGTGTGCTTCAGTCCCTGACCATCTTGGCTGCCCTCCACTGCACTCCCTGTATGTCTGCGTCTTTCTTACCCTGGGGAGCTGAAGATACGGCGCACTCCAGAACCTGCCTCAAGTGCTGCATTACTCTCTCTCATTGACCTGATGGCTAACCTCTTGCTAACATGGCCCAGTATATGGGTAGCTTTCTTCTCCCCAGAGACACACTGCTGATTTGTGTGCAGTTTGTTGCTCACCAGGATCTCAGACCCCTTTCTAACAAACTGCTTTCAAACTGGTCAGTGGCCAGCCTGTACTGCAGTGTCTGGTTGTGTCAGGTATCCCAGGTGCAGGACTTTCCCTATGTGGAACTGTGTGTGGCTCCTGTCAGCTCTTTTCTCCTGCTTGGGAAGGTTCTTTTGACCAGCCCTACGCTCTGGCATATGAGCACTCCCCTCAGTTCTCTCTGCTCTTCAGTCTTGCTACATGTGACTTCCAGCTTCTCGTCCAAGTTGTTAGGAAACACATTTAACATTACAGGCCTTGGTATGGACCCCTGAGGGACACTGCTAGTAACTAGCTACCAGGTGGATTTTGTACTGCTCTTCACCAGCCTTTGTATTCAGTAATCCTGACTGTTTTCCACTTGCTGTGTAGACTGCTTATCCAGTCCATTTCTAACCAGTTTGGCTAAAAGGATACTGTGGAAGACTGTTTAAGGCCTTGTTACAATCCAGGTAAACAACATTCACCACATTCCCATTATCCACAGAGCCTCTCTTCTCACCACAGAAGACGGTCAGGTTGGTTAGGCACAGTTTGCCGCTTGTCCTGTCACTGGGCGCTTTTTTTGCTGTTAAGTCATGTATAGCTCTCCCAGTCCCTGTCACTAGACTCAGAGACCTGGGAGGCATCAGGACAAGCCTTACCAGTGAGACCCAAGGGAAAAAAGGTATCGAGTATATTAGCCTTTTCCATGTCTTCTGTGACCACTATGACCCATGTCCCAAGGCTGAGCGATGGCCATAAAGTTTCCTTGGTTTTCCTTTTGTTGCCACTGTGCTTACAGAAGCCTATCTTGTTGCCCTTAACTAGCTCCAAGTCCAGCTGAGCTTTGGCTTTCCCAATTGTGTCCCCGCATGCTTGGACAGTGTCTCTATATTCTTCTGAGGTAGCTTATCTCATCTTCCATTTCTGCATACTTCCTTTTTATGCCTGAACTCTGCCAGGAATTTCCTCTTCATCCATGCCAGCCTCCTGCCACGCTTGCTCAGCTTGCAATGCTTTGCAATGCACTGCTCTTGGGTTTGAGGAAGATGCCCTTGAAGATAAACCAGCTCTGCCTTAGGCCTTGCAGGGCATGTCCCATGGGGATGCTGCCAAGCAGGACCCTGGGAAAGCCACTGTCCAGAACTCCAGGGTTGTGTTTCTGTTTTTCTGGCACCCTTCTCTGTCTCTTAAACTCCTGGTTGTTGCAGCCAAGATTGCCATCAGCCTTCCCCTCCTTGACCGGTTCTTCCTTGTTCATCAGTGACAGGTCCAGCAGAACGCATCCCCTAACCGGCTCACGAGTCTTCGCTGTGAAGAAACCATCCTCAGCACCCTTCAGAAAGCTCCTGCACTGCTTACATCAAGCCCATTCTGCCTGCTACCAGGGTGCTCTAAGTTCCCCACAAGCACCAAGGCCTGAAATCAAAAGGTTTCATGCCGTTGTCTGAAGAATGCTTCAATCCACTTCCTCTTCTCTATAAGGCAGCCTGTAGCAGATACCTGCCATGAAGTCTGCCCAGATGCTCCACCCTCAGATATTTCCCCATAAGGTGTTGACTTTCTCCTGCTCCATGGCAAAGCTCCCTGCCTTCAAGCCACTCCTTTTGGACAGATCTGCTCACCTGGAAGCCTGAAAGAAATTGTAAAGCTGCATTTGTGCAGTTATCGAACTGAAGTTCTCTCTCAGGATTAGCAGCAGAACACTTGCATCGCCATGGCAACCTTGGGAGAAAGTAGTGGAAATAGATACAATTTTCAGCCATGATTGCATTAATCTTTAAGATGCATCCATTCTTAGCACATACTTGATAAACACACTGCTCTATTTTACCTTTTTTATATCATATATTTTCCGATGTATGGTGTGTACTTTCCCCAAAGTGTCTCTTATGTTGTGAAATTGCCCGCTGCAGTAGGTGTTGCTGTTGATCCTGCCATCACACCATTGGCAATATGCAGCAACCTCCACAGTTCAAATTTTATTTATTTCGGAAGAGGTGTGTGGGGGAGTGTCCATCTGGCAGTGTGTGATGCACCTCAAGAAATAGTCATTTCTTTTTCTTTGCCTTTTGATTAATGCAGAATTTCTGACTTCCATATGTATGAATTGATAAAATATTATTTTATCAATTTATAAAATATCTCACCAAACTATAATGCTGCTTCAACCTTTCTTTTTGCTGACATGGCTGGTTAGTCTGTTACTCCCAAGTACTGTCATTGCCAACAATGGGCTTCCTATTCATGGGAATAGGATGGGCTTCCAACGATGGGCTTCCCTTCAGAGTCCAGAGAAAACTGAGAAAGAAAAAATGCCATTTAACTTATTCCCTACTGTGATTTAAAAATAAATAAATAAATAAAAAGCTTCTAGAAACTGCCAGTGCAGCACAGTTAGTCTACTTTTCTGTTTTTTCAGGATTTGGTATGAGGTACATACTGAAGCACACCGTCCACAGGTTTTTAGTGAGGAGCATATGGAAATGACATGTTCTTTATAGGAAAAAAAATAAAAATAAAGAAGCATTATCTGTACAGGAGCTCTACAGGAATTCTGTCTTGTCATTGCTAGCTGACAGGCTCTCATCAGGACAAAAGCTTCTCATTATAAATGTTATGTCTGACTCCTATAGTACAAACAAATCTTATTCTCCTAATTTTCATATTCTTGCAAAATGATGAATTTATTCTTTTATAATAAAACTTTTTTAAATTATGCTTTTATCCTATGCTCCAAGCTATCAGTTTTGATTAATTTTCTAAAAATGATATAGAAACTTTTTCAAGGAGTATAGCAACAAGAGGGAGAAAAATATTAATTGGTAGGCCCCAAACCGCAATTATTAACGAAGGCGTGTTTTGAATTTAATTAACTAAAAAAAAACCTGACTAACTGTCTGCTTTTATATTAAGGAAATAACCAGCAAGAGTTCTATAATGCTTACGGAGTGAGTCGTTTGCAGCATGATGTTTTCTGTTGATAACATCCCATTAACTCAACAAGCATCCTCAAAAAGGTATTAGTGGGATTTGTTTATCACGTGGTACTTCTGCTTGACGTACATGTTCCATCTCTATGTAGCTTACTAGTAAATGAAATTAATGCACCTCTTTTTCCAAAATATGAGTTAAGTAGAAATAGTCAAATTCATTCAGAAGGGTAGCTATAGCTTTCAGGCCTTATTAGAAATGTTTTAATATTAGTTTCTGCACCATCATTCTATTGCTTAATAATCATTCCTGTGCTTACTAGTGTACTAGGCATTTGGACCTGGGTTCTGGAGAGAGTGCAGTAGAGCAGCATATGGAAGACCTGAGTTCAAGAGCTGACTCAGTCCCTTGAACATCTGTCTAGCACAGGAGAGAGGTACAAATAGACAAGTTTTCTGCATTTGGAGAAAGCAGGGGCGTGTCTTTTAACCAAATAAATTGAGAGTGTTAGATCAAACATTTGATCCTGCTCAAGAGACTTAATGGTTCCTTCTGATTCCTGGAGAGAAGTAAGCTCCTTGAAACTTAGAAATTCCTTGCTAGAAAGAATGCTTAACTATACAAATACAGAAATCTTTATAAAAAAAAAAAAAAAAAAAAAAAAAAGCCAATGAACTAGCCCAACATTTTCAGGCTTCCTTTTTACCTCTGAATGTAATTTGTTAGTGTTGCCCAGCAAAGTTACTTCTACACCCATTTATCCACAAATCTTGTTCTTAGATGACCAAATGATCTAAAGATACTTCTTTTGGCCCTAAAAACACATGTATGTGAAGACAAGTGCTTAAGAATTCCTGTATTTTAAAAGCATCTGTAAGTAACTCTTTGTTATAGCTTCCTTTTTACCTCTGAATGTAATTTGTTAGTGTTGCCCAGCAAAGTTACTTCTACACCCATTTATCCACAAATCTTGTTCTTAGATGACCAAATGATCTAAAGATACTTCTTTTGGCCCTAAAAACACATGTATGTGAAGACAAGTGCTTAAGAATTCCTGTATTTTAAAAGCATCTGTAAGTAACTCTTTGTTATAGCAATTTGGCAAGTAGTTTTGTTAGAAGAAATGTTAGAAGAAAATATTAATATGTTTGTAACAGAAGTCTAAAAAGCTAATTCCTTAACAGTGTTTGCTGAATGTGACTTAAGAAATGCTGTAATATAATGTCTGCTGGTCTTGCCTGTAGCTAATATTTTGTTCTCTGTATGTAAAAAAGGAGTCCTTCTCCAGGCTTTCTGCTCAGAGTAATTTATTGTATGTAAGATATTTTTTTAAAGTAATCTTTGTAATAAGAATAGCCTTGTGATAACAGTATGTTTTGGCTATCAGTATTTTTTTTCAAGAAAACTTTACTTCTTAGCTTCTGTACAGGTGATCTGTCAGAGAGGACCACTGCTTGCTCTCTTCTGCAAAGATATTTAAAAGATTTTCCTACTCTTCTTGGTCACCATCTGCTGGCTGTTTAGAAGCCTGTACTGCTGTGATTGTTTCCTTCTGAAAGAGGGGACCGAAAGAACAAATATTCAAGTACAGGTGCTATTTTCAGAGTGAAGAATAAGAAGTGAACCCATTTGTCCAATGTCAAAGGGGTTCTATGAATAAACCCTCCTGCTTAAAATCTGCATACAGTAGAGGATCAATTTATGCAGTGGTAACTTGCACCAGATTTCCTATTAACCTCTCACCAGCTGTGATGTTTTGCTGTGCACTCTGCCCTGGTGAGTTTTAGGGAGTCCCCTACTAAAGCAGCAGTTCATCAACGCAGTGAGATCGTGCTGGGATTCAAAAGGTGCAGCCTTCGGCTCATAGCATCTTATTTTCTTTGCAGTTATTTATGTTAGGGATATATTTTACATGTCCTGTTTTTAAAGCAGTTAGGGCTATGATCATTTACCCAGGTGAGGTCTGCCCCATGCACCTAAGCATTTTGTCACAGCTGAGGCGAGTATCCAAGCATACATGGAGCGTTTGTGCTGTAGGCAGCCAGTCACAGTGCTCATCGGTGAGAGCAGGTTGTGGGTGGGTGTAACGATGAGAAAAGAATTCGGAACATCTTAGAAAAGAATGTTGCACATCTTGTGCAATCAAGACTTGCACTGAAATCAAGGAGAATTCTCTGTCTCTACTGTCTGTAAAAGCTGAACCTGGAAAATCGTAGAGTCATTAATGTTGGAAGGGACCCTTGGAGATCATCTAGTCCAACCCCCCTGCACACGCAGGGCCAGAGATGTTAGTGTTTCAGATCATTTTGGCTGTTGCACATCTAGAATTTTCTGATACCAATGGCCAGATAGTTACAAAAACCCTCAGTTATAAAACTGTTCTGTTAGGGAACAGGAAAAGATCATCAGATTTTATCACAATGAGATCTGATCACATCAGATTCTGGCACTTTGTTATAAATAGGTGTATATACAGCAAGCATATATTGTTAAATTAATTATTGTATCATTTATTTGGACTTGTGGCAGGCCCAGGCCGGACATCTCCCTACCTGAGAACTTCAGCAAAAATGAAGCCAATAGAAGAAAGTGTTGAAGATGATGTCTTTGAAGCACCATCTACTGATAAGCTTCAAGTCCAGCGGCTGCCTTAGATGTGTCGAGACACACAGGAGTTTGTACAGAGCTCTGATGCAAGAGAAGAGGCTTCATTTGGAAGGAATCTGAAAGCTAAAAATGCCTTCACGTGTTTGAATTTACCACATCAGCAACTTCTAGACAGAATGTCACATTTTATTTTACGTCTAAATAAAAAAAAAGAAAAATCTGAGTTTTATTTTTGTTTATTGGCCATGAGTATTTGTTTTACCTTTCCTTTGATTCTTGTTATGACAGCTTTAATATTGTTGACTAGCCTGACATTTCTACAGACTTATTAGGGGCAGAACTCCTATTTTTATATGCTTTTTTAAAAGCCTATATCTTAGTGCTTTTCAGTGGGAATTTTTGAAACTTTTCTCCAAAACTATATTGCTTTTACCTAATAACATTGTTGTGAGACTCTCAAATGAAATAATACACATAAGCTTCAATGTGTATCAATAGGTATTTGCTTCTAATTCTCGTATTTCCTAACTTGACTGCTTGATTCTACAATCATAATAATGACTTAACTTTTTTTTTCCTCTAAAAATCATAGTTTAATGTTGCCTTTCCAACCATAACTTTTTTTAGGTAAATGTACTATGCAGTAATTCTCAGTTAGACAGTCACCTTTTTTTTTCCTCCCAGTAGGCTAGCAAAATCACAACTAGATTTGGCAGTTGATTTCTGGCAAACATGTATGTTTCTTTACAAAACTATGATAGTACTAGTACTTCCCAAAGAAAAGATTCTGCTTACAGGTTTGTTTTTTGTGTGTGTTTGTTTTTTTTAACATGGTCAAAGCAACATGCTTTTCCTTAGTCTTATGCACTGAATGATTGATCTGTTTTGGTTTATTGGGCAGGTTTTGTAATAGGTGCTGATAGCAGTCCTTTCTGTGATATGCGAGCACATACATGGTAGCTGTAAATCTGCTTTTGACAATTCTTGAAATATATTATGCAACAAATTAACTGTTTTAACATAACAGAATATAGATCCTCATATATGTACTGTCAAGCAGAGTTGACTTGAGCCTGTTTTTTCTGTTTTCTGATGCTCCATTTAATTTTTGTAATTTAACCAGACAGCGTGTCCTGGAACCAACCTGCCTCTGAGTTACATAACCCTGTTCAAAAGCCCTTGCAATATCAAAATACATTTGAATGATTGGATGTTAGGCCTGCACTGTGAATATCCCTGCTTCTGTGAATTTAAATTCAGTGTTTAATGTTACATCAAAATATCTTGTGATTTGCTCAGTTTTGTGTTGTTAAAAATGTTTCACTGAGGTAAGATCTACTTACTAATCTGTGTAAGTAGATGTAAAATAACTTTATGCCACATATCAAATGCAAAAGAGAGCACTCTGGTTTATTTTGGAACTGACGTAGTTTATCATCTAAATTTCATTTTTTAGAAGTCTTTATATGCCAAAAATAGGGAGTTCTCCTGCAGCTGTTTTAATTTGTGTGTGTTTGTTCAAGCAGCTTTTAAGGATACTTGTCTGCTAAACCACAAAAATAGACAGGATGAGATGTGAGTCTTCTGGAGTGCAGCTGGAATTCAGCGACCAAAACATAAATGCCTATTAAAAATTAAACCACATTCTTAGTAGCTGACTGTCAAAGATTATACCATGAACAGAAACACAGTAGACATGAAGAAAACTGACTGCATTAAAAAGAAATATGAAAAGTTTTTATGCAATGAAATGTATAGCAAAGGAAATCGTATCCTTGCCACTCCAGCAACTACCAGTTGGAAGGTTATCTGAGTGTTTTTTTTCTTTTTATTAAAAAAACAATTTCATAGGACATTTTGATAGGATACATAACATAAAATTGAAGTGAGTTACAGGCATGCCATGTATCTTTGCTACTCTAGAGGCCAGAGAGCAACTGTTTCCTTTTCCAGAAACTTCTTTGAGGCCCCTAACTTGCAGCTTGAGCAGAGAGTAGCCCGTGTGCAGGGATGAATGTAAGTGATATCACCCTCTCCACTGCCACTTTAGCTAGCAGATGCCTCAAATTAAGACTGTCCAGCCATTGTAATTTTCCATACTTGCGTTCCTCCCTAATGCAATTGAGGATTAATCTCTATTAAGGCTGTATCCTGATTTCCCAGGCAAAGTGCCTTTGCGACAAGGATTCCCTGTTGTCCTTTTTAGGAAGGAGTGCAACCGATGCACTCTCGTGCCCTTTTGTTCACTGGTGCTCAGTGCTCTGTTTTGCTCCAGAAAGCTAAGGAATTTAATAGCACAGACATTTTCTGCCAGGTGGCATGAATCTACACTCTTAAAGGCTGAGTTTTTATAACTGCGCTTTCCTTCAATTTTTTAAAAATGTTCTTCCCCCATCACATTGTCCTCTGGAGTTTTATACGGTACTTTTCTTAACTCTTCTGTGTATTTGTACTTCTCTCCCAGACAAAGAAGGATGTGTAACACACAACCAACAGGCAAAATGACTGGGGAAGAAGCAAAACTGATATTATATAAAATGCCCTAGCATAAGGAAAACACATTTCTGTGCTCATTGCGTTCAAGTCTGACTTGATGACTTGAATTGACTCTAGATCATGAGTTTCTCTAGAGAAGGGTGAAAATCAGTAGCTGTTGGGTTTGCTAAACACAAAACAAACCTCCATTTTTTATCATATTCAGTTTATGACATGAACTAGTTATTACAGTTTGAGAACACAGATAACACTTCCTAGCAGGCCTCTGTCCACCCACCTGACCTGCTGTCCCAAAGGGCATGAGGAGCAGACAGATCCTGCAGGCCATCAACAGAGATTTGGGGTTTTTTATGACCATGGAACACTCTTTAAGGATCAAGGACTGTCAGGAAGCGCCGTCACCAAACCAAGTGGGGCAAAAGCATCTTCGCCAACAGCATGGCCAACCTGGTAAGAACTTTAAAGACAAGTGGCAGGAGAGGAACATGACAGCCCCTGTTCAGGTTAGGAAGTGGTGGCCCAGATTATCAAGGAAAGGGCATGGAGTGATGTGGACAAGAGAGACTTGGTAATCAGCAAAACAGGACAAGGGAGTGAACCTTGAGCATGTGCAACGAGTACGAAAGTGCCAGGAAGGCAGCATGGTGGAGGAAGCTTGTACCTTCTCTGGGAAACCAGCCTCTCCGTACGGCCTGCACGCCAGTGTCCATGGCACGGGGAAGAAAACAGGATGGGAAGGAGGGAGCTGTGTGCAGTTGCAGGGCTCGTCCCCGGGACCTTGCTGGGGTCACAGAGAGGTGGTCAGAGAGCTCACACAACTAGGGGGCTGCTGTGGGTTGATACAGGCTCTTTAGGAAGGACAGGCTGGGGCAGCGAGCAGAGGAAGTTGTCTGTATGTGAGAGAACAGCAAGGATGCCCAGAGCGCTGTCTAGAGGTGGGTGAGAAGCCAGCTGAGAACTTACGGATCAAAACCAATCGACATTCCAGTGTGAGTGGTGGTGTGGGTGTCTGCTACAGACCCCCTGATTGGGAAAAAGCAGCAGATGTGGTCTTCATCAGATAGCTGGAGAAATCCCCACGTTTGCAGGCCCTGGTCCTCATGGTGGACTTCAACCACTGTGATACCCGCTGGGAGAATATCCCAGCAGGGCATCAGCAATCCAAAAGGTTTCAGGTGACAGTTTCCTAACAGAGGTGATCAATGAACCTAGGAGGGAAGTTGCTCTGTTGGACTTCAAAACAAGGGAGAACTGGCCTGGGATGGGAAAGCTGGGGGGAGCCATTGGCTGCAGCAACCACAGGAAAGTAGAATTCCCAATCCCAAGGGAAGGGAGAAAGGCAAAGAGTAGGATGACAACAGACTTTGGCATCTTCAGGAATCTCTTTGGAACAATCCCAAGGCCCTGGAGGGAAGAGGGATCCAGGAGTGCTGGTTGATTTTCAAAGATCACCCAATCTAACCTCAAGAAAGGTCTACCCCATGTCAGGCAAAAGCAGCAGAATGCCTGCATGGATGAAAAGTGAGCTCCTGAATAAAACATAAAAAGGAGGTGGAAGCAGCCACTGGTGCTCCAGGAGAAATACAGGGACACTGCTTGAGCATGCAAGGTTTGGGGCTGAGAGCTACAGCTGCTTGGAGTTGAATCTGGTGAGGCAGGTGAAGGGCAGCAAGAGGAGCTTCCATAGATACATCAGCAGCAAAAGGAAGACTAGGGAACATATGGGTCTGCGGCCAAATGGGGCAGGAAACCAGGTATGGGGCACAGGACCCAGCAAAGGCCGGTGTACTCAGTGACTTCTTTGCCTTTACAGGTAAGATTTTCCTATGTGAATCCCGGACACCTGAGACCAATGGACTGAAAAACGAAGTGTAAAGTCAGTAACTTAATGTCCTACGGGAGGAAGGTTCACTAAGCTGAACTGAAGCCCTGAAGTCGCTGATCTGAGTTCTGCTCTTGTCTGATATCATATTTATGACTGTACGGTGTGTTTTAGAACTACTAAAAAGTTCTGACTGCTAAAAATAATGGAGAACCCCAAGAGAATCAAACTGAGGGAGGAAATTGTAAGAAATTGTAAGCAGCATAGGTAGTATTTTAATGTTTTTTGAAGTAGAGGAAATATTTTTTGAAGGAGGGAAATGTTTTGGGAGAATTTCTGTGGTCACCTGAACAATCTTGAGGACAGTACAAAGATACTTTGGACTGTTTTCGTCTGAGCTTGTCTGACCTGACTAAGGAATCTCCACCTCATAAGGTCTTAAAATCCAAAGGCAGATGTTCCAGTGCTTGGCTACTGCAAAACAAATCAGGTTTGAGAAGCCTTTTTTTGTCTGTGTCCTCTCCTTTTGATTTGGCGGTGACTGTTCGCCTCTTTGAATCACCCTTCCTCATATTAGGAGGATGCTAAAAGAGGGACAACTACACGTGCATTTTTCAACCTATCTTTGCAGCTGGCCTGTTTCTT